ACCTTTTTTTTTTTTTTTTGGTGAAACTATACATAGCCAAAGATACACCATTTTAAAAATTTCTACATGCACAGTTCAGTGACATCAATTATTTTCTTCCAGTTGTGCTGCTATTCTCACTTTAGATGAAGGTTTACAGAACAAAATAGTTTCTCATTAAACAGTTAGTATACATGTTGCCCTATGACAATGGTTAATAATCCCACTACATGTCAACACTGCCCTTACTCACACTTTTGGGTTCCCTATCACCAGTTTTCCTGCCCCCTTCTGCCTTCTAGTCCTTGTCCCTGGACTGCAGTGCCTCATTAGTCCCATTTTGTTTTATGGGGCTGTCCAATCCCTGGCTGAACGGTGAGCCTTGGGAGTGACTTCACCACTGAGCTAAAAGGGTGTCTGGGGACCATACTCTCAGGGTTTCTCCAATCTCTTTCAGGCCAGTAAATCTGGTCTTTTTTTTGTGTGCGAGAATTTTGCTCTACATCCTTCTCCAGCTCTGTCCAGAACCCTCTGCTGTGATCCTGGTCAGAGCAGTCAGTGGAGGTAGCCAGGCACCATCTAGCTGTAGTGGACTCAGTCTGGTAGAGGCCTTGGTAGCTGTGGTCCATTAGTCCTTTGGACTAATCTTTTCCTTGTATCCTGTTCTCTTCATTCTTCCCTGCTCCTGAAGGGGTGAGACCAGTGGAGTATCTTAGCTGGCTGCTCACAGGCTTTTAAGACCCCAGATGCTACTCACCAAGGTAGAATGTAGAACTTTGTCTTTATAAACTGTATTATGCCAACTGAGCTAGATGTTCCCTGAGACCATGGTGCCCACAGCCCTTTGCCCTGCAATTCAGTCCCTCAGGGAGTTTTGATGTGTCTATGGAGCTTCCATGACCTTTCCTGGTATAAGTTGTGCTGGTTTCCCCAGTATTGTGTACTGTCTCACCCTTCACCAAAGATACCACTTATCTATTGCTTATTTAGTATTCCCCCCCATCCCCCCTATCCATCTTAATCAACAAAGATCATTACACAAAAGATCTCCTTAAAGTTTTAAAGAGCAAATATGTCACTTTGATAACTAAGGTGAGCCTGACCTAAGCCGTGGTCTTTTCAATGGCCTCATATACATGTGAAAGCTGGACAATGAAAAAGAAAGACAGTAGAAGAGTTAATGCTTTCGAATTGTGATGTTGGCAAAGAAAACTGAATATACATGGAACAAACAAATCAGTCTTAAAAGAATTTGACCTGCTTACTTTGGATGTCATTAGGAGAGACCAATTGCTGGAAAAGGACATCATGTTTGGTAAAGAAGAGGGTCAGTGAACATAAGGGAAACCCTCAATGAGACACATTGGTATAATAGCCTCAACAATAGACTCAAACATACCAATGGCCATGAAGATGGCACAAGACCAGGCAATGTTTTGTTCAACAGAAGATCACCGTGAGTCGGAGACAACTCCACAGCAACTAACAATGACTAACCACTATGTACCTAGAACTATTCACAGAGGAAAAAAAGGAAAGTTCATTGAAATCATGCTTGGTTAAGTGAAGGGTCAACGAAAAGGAGGAAGACCCTCAACGAGATGGATTGACACAGTGGCTGAAACAATGGGTTCAAGCATAACAGTAATTGTGAAGTTGGTGCAGGACCAAGCAGTGCTTCGTTCTGTTGTACTATGAGTTGGAACTGACTCGACAGCACCTAACAACAACAACAACTGTTGGTTGTGTGTGTACATGTATGCCAAGGGCACTAAACTCCACAAGGTGGGCACCATGATCCCTTTTTCACAAAGACAGTAAATAACGGCCTGAGAGGAACCTGACTGAGGTCTCAGAGCTAACGTTGGGTGCAGTTTCCAAGTCTGTCCCCAGTCTTTCGATCACACCATGCTATGCTGTTTCCAGAGTAGTAAATTGACTATGTTCCATTTGGGTAAACATGCACATCACACCATGACTGATTTGCTTGTGGACTATGTCCCAGACTTGGCGTGTTGTCTGTGCTATGTCTCCCTCCTGCCTCTGAAGTACAAATATGCCAGCTCATCGAAACACCTAGATACCCAGGAGGGGCACGGAGCAGGCAGATTTTCTTGCAGTGCTCACTGGTCTGACAGGTTTGGTGCCCAGATCGTATCTAGGTCTTGAACCTCTCCTGAGGCAGGGCTGTTGACAGAAAGGTGTGGAGGAATAGCATATTTGTCAACGAAGTCACCTAAGGTGAGGAGAGCTCCCCTGACAGCTGGTTTCTGTGAGACTGAGAGACACGCTTTGAGCTGATCTCTCCACAAAGCGACCCAAGGGCCTGACTTTCTGGCTCTGCACTGGCTGACTCAGAAAATCATGAAGGTAGTAAAACATTTGGAAAGACTCAAACAACTCAGCCCTAGTGTGCCTCATCTGAAAAATTAGCATGCGGGGCTAGTGCAAAATAATTTCTAAGATTTCTTACAGTTCAAAGAGCTCATGATCTATCTACATAAGACTAGTAAAAGTATTCATAATTTAATGTAAACCTAGGATATAAAACTGTATTCCCAGGATGATCCCAAATATATTTTAAAATAAATTTTATTTGCATAGGAAATAGACTAGAAGAGAATTCTTAAGACTATTTATAGAGTGTGATTAAAGGTGATTAGAATTTTTTTCTTATTTCTCCCATGGGTCTGCATGAAGGAAATACTGGGTAGTATGAACAACATTCTCAATAGCATTTTAAAGCAAAAAATGCTGATGCAACACTGAAAGGTGGTTTCTTTTCCAGCTTACCAGGGAAGGCCACAGCACCACCCAGTGAGGACACTGACAATCTTTAAGATGTCTTTGACCTAAGAGAACATGAGCTTTGAGTAGACCACCAAGGTCTTTGGTGACAGTAAAACTCTAACTATGTCAAATACAATTAAATAAGACAGAGATATCTTTGTATGCGGAGCTGTGGGAAAATGTCCAAGAGATATTGAGTAAAAACGCAGCATGCATAGTATTATCCCACTTATGTAAAAATTATGTTAGTATACCCTTGGAGAAACACGTACAAAAATCATATGCCCAAGAGTAGTTACCTTTCACTTGCTAAATCATTTATTTATCCAATGCTTGATCCCTTAATGTACTATTTTTTAATCAGAAAAAAATATAAAATTAATATTTATAGTTTATGCTTTTCTTATCCTTTCCTGATGTTTCTGCTACACAGTAACACTAATAACTAAAACTTATTGAGCACTTTCTGTATGCAAACAGCATGTTAAGAGTTTTAGATGCATTTTCTCCTTTTGTTTTTACAGATGTAGGTAAATTTTTCCCATTTGTAAAATGAGAAAAATGAGGCTTAGTTTAAATAACAACCCTAACTTTTACCCATTCATTTGTTCAACACTTATTCTGCCATTCAATGAATATTTATGAATTTCCAGGTACTGTTTCGGGTTCTGTTGATACAGCAATGAACAAGTCAAAGCGCCATTTTAGTCAGGGAGACACACATCAGCCGGTGGATCAGTACATAATATACTTAGTGATCAGTTGGAATCCACTCGATGGCAGTGGGTTTGGTTAGTGATAAGTGCCTCGAGGGAAAATAAAGCCAAAGAAAGGGATGGAGAATAATGGGGGCCTGGGAGTGGGTTGCTATGAGTTGGAATGGACTCGAGGGCAATGGGTTTGGTTTTTTGGTTTTGGGGAGTGGGTTTAGAGACTGATGATTGTCTAATCAACATCCAGCTCCCCCCTTCTTTCTAAGCGTATAAAACCTGATTTTGTTAAGGTGACAAATTGCCCAGTGGAGGTGAGTCCCCATATCCTCAGAGGGAAAAACTGTGATTTGTTTAAGACAAGCAAGAGAATTCCATTCTCCCTTTTAGGGACTCTTTAGGGGTGGCCATGTAACAGATCAAGTCGAAGAGCTGTAACAGGAAAGCCTGTTGTGTTGGCTTCTGTTAAAGACTTTTTTTCCTTTCTTGATCAAAGAAAGGGGTCTGAGGAAAAGTCTCTGCCCTGAGTCACTCCTGCTTCCTGCTTTGAACGTGGTTGTGAAAAAGTGTGAACCCTGGGGCTATGGCGGCCATCTTGTTACCATGCAGCAACATTTACAAGGATAAAAAGCCAATCTACTGGGATGGCAGAGCAGAGAATTGGAAAGAGTCTGGCTCTGGAGGGCATTGCTGAGCTACTAAACCAGGCTTCAAACTGCCCACTTCCGGTCTTCTTGTTAATTGAGTTTTTAAATTTCTATATTGTTCAAGCTGTTATTTGCCTGAGAAGAAGTAGTCAGTATGGTAGAAGGGAAACCAAGGAGAGTATAGGGTCTTAGAAACATGTGAATAAAGTGTTTCAAGAGTGCGTGAATGACCAAATATGCCAAATATTGCTCAAACTTTGAGTAAGATGAGACAATGGAGTTGCCCATTGGCACTGGCAAATGGAGATCTTTTGTGGTCTGTGTTCAGTGTCCTGGAAAAGCAGAAGTCAGATTGGAATGGATTAAAGAGTGAAAAAGAGGTGAAAAAATGGAGACATTAGATATAGGCTATTTCTAGGAACTTTGCTCTGAAGGTGAGCAGAGCAATGGGAAAGTAGCTAAGATGGAGTTATGGGAGGAAGTTTTGAAGATGAGAGAGGTAGGAACACATTTGTATGCTGCTGAGAATAGTCCAAGGAGAATTCATGAGAGAGAATATATATTACAGGAGTAAAGTGTTTGGGAAGGGAAGATGAGATAATATGTGGGCAAGAGTGGAAGGACTAACTCTGGATAGGAGATGGGTCAATCTATTAATGGCAGCAGGCGGGAAGGCAGAGGACATGGGGACAGATGCAGCTGGGGTGGAAATTTTGGTGTGGGAATGGGACATTTTCTTCTAATTGATTGTGTTTTCTCAGTGAAATAAGAAACAGACTATCAGCTGAGAGTGGGAGAGTGAATGGACTAGGATGGCAGTTCTCAAACTTTCTTGTCTGAGGATCCTCTTACATCTTTAAAAATTGAAGACCTTGTGCTCACTTCAGCAGCGCATGTACTGAAATTGGAACGATATAGAGAAGATTGGCATGGCCCCTGTGCAAGAATGATACACAAATTTGTGAAGCATTCAACTTGTCCAAGGCAAGTTCATGGAAGCCCCACAGACACATCCAAACTCCCTGAGTGACTGAATTACTGGACTGAGGGCTGTGGGGACGATGGTCTCAGGGAACATCTAGCTCAATTGACATTAACATAGTTTATAAAGAAAATGTTCTACATTCTACTTTGGTGAGTAGCGTCTGGGGTCTTAAAATCTTGTGAGAGGACATCTATGGTACTCCACTGGTCTCACCCCATTGAGAACAAGGGAGAATGAATAAGTGAATAAGGCCAAAGACACAAGGGAAAGATTGGTCCAAGGGACTAATGGACCGAAACTACCATAGCCTCCACTGGACTAAGTCCAGCACAACTAGATGATGCCTGGCTACCACCACCGACTACTCTGAGAGGGATCACAATACAGAGTCCCTAACAGAGCTGTAGAAAAATGTAGAACAAAATTCTAACTCACAAAAAAGACCAGGCTTACTGGCCTGACAGAGACTGGAGAAACCCTGAGAGTATGGCCCCCGGACACCCTTTTAGCTCAGTAATGAAGTCACTCCTGAGGTTCACACTTCAGCCAAAGATTAGACAGGCCCATAAAACAAAATAAGACTAACAGGGCACACCAGCCCAGGGGCAAGGACTAGAAGGCAGGGGGAGACAGGAAAGCTGGTAATAGGGAACCCAAGGTTGAGAAGGGGAGAGTGTTGACATGTCATGGGGTTGGTAACCAATGTCACAAAACAATATGTGTACTGATTGCTTAATGAGAAACCAGTTTGTTCTGTAAACCTTCGTTTAAAGTACAATGAAGAAAAAAAATTGAGAACCTCATGGAAGTTTAGTTTATGTGTGTTGTATCTATACAAATGTACCGATTTAGAAATTAGAGCTGAAAAAGTTTTAAAATGTATTTATTCATTTAAAAATAAGAACAATAAACCCATTACATGTTAACATAAATAATTCATTTTTACCAAAAATAGCTATTTCCCGAAACAAAAAAATTAGTGAGATGATTGGCATTGTTTTAAATTTTTGCAAATTTCTTTAATGTCTGGCTTGATAGAAGATAACTGGATTCTCGTAAGTGCTTCTACATTCCATCTGTTGCAATATCACACATCCTGTAGCCTCTGAGAAACTCCACCGTACACTTGTGAGAGAATGAGAATAGAAAAAGCAAACAATATCTTCTTAGTATTACTGTGAAAATTGTTTTGATCGCATGGACCTCCTGAAAGGATCTCAGGGACCCCTAAGGGCCCCATACCACACCCTGGGAGACACTGGACAAAGGAAAGGTGGTATGATTGCCAGGCAGAACCTGAACTCAAATTCAAGTTTGTCTGACTCCAGGGTCCATGGAAGAGAACCAGAGCAATGGTCATGGGTTGACTTACAGCAGCCCTAAATACAGAGACATGGTCCTTAATGTAGGTTGTAAGTTAATGCTGAAATACTGCAGTTCAAAAGCCTCTTATGGTACGAGGACCCCAAGATGGGACCCACTTAACCAAGAAAGTTTCAAGGTTAAATTTGACCTGAAGTTTCTATCATCTCAACTAAATGAAAACTTTGAAGGTTGGACACAGGACACGGTCAGATGGCACTGTTTGGGGCTTAAAGCTGAACTTTGTGTTTCCAGGTGGCATTTTTTTTTTTTTTTAATTTCTTTTGGTTCCATTCCATGTAACCATTCTTGGAAGATCCCCTTGATGGTGAGTCCCATGGGACAGACTTGTCTGTGGCTGCTCACTCTTCACACATTCTAGGCAATGGATAAATACTTCCTGAGTGAGTTGATCCTAAGGGAATGAGTTGATCCCAAGGAGGCAAACGCTTGGGGGAACATTCCATTCTTCAGAGGACCCCTTTGCATTCATCACACCTGCTGCAAAGTGAGGTGCGTAGAGGTGACTGAAGGATTCGGAGAGGAATGCTTCTGTTGATCCAGCCTCTTTGAAGCTGTGTGCACTCAATATGGTGCCCCAGGGGTACCTGATCCAGCCTTGAGTTCTCTTTAAACGTATAGACAATCTCCTTAATGTTTAGATCTGGGGTTGCAGCTTCAAATGACCTTAAATGCTCACTTTGAATTATAACAGGAACTATAACAAAAATTGTGTTGTATTCTGTTGCACATGATGCTGCACACAGTTGGTTTCAGTTTTCACTACTACAAAGAATGTTGCAATGAACATTCTTGTAGCGTGTACATGCCATCTATGATCATTTGCTCAGAGTGGATTCTTAAGTGTGGCTTTCTTGGGTCGATGTGTGCATATATTTCTATGGCTTTGACTCATGTTACCAAACTGTTCTCAGAAGGGCCGTACACATTCATCTGCATTATACAAAAGTATCCTTTGCGTTTATAAAGATAATTGATAAACTCTCACATCTTAGTTTCCCAAGAGCAACTGATTCTCCCCCCTCCATCCACAGATTCCACTGTCATTGGTGTATTAGTTCTATCAATTCCGTGGGAAGGCAGTTACCATGTAGTATCTAACCTAAAGAGCAAGAAACTGTTAAGAATGTAAATTTGTGGTGATGAAACAAAGCTCCAGTGAGAGCAGAGTTCGAGTCTAAGGCTACTCTTTATACAACACAATGTCCTGTGCCTTCCACAAAACAGTAGAACTAATTTTAAAATGGTATGTTCATTCCTGACCCTCTCTCCCATTTGCTTACCTATCCTGTTTATTGGCACTGATTCAGAACTGCTGTTTACTTCATGAGCCAGGCCAGCAACTTCAAAGAACTTATGTTACCTCTGTAATTCTTCTGATCAAAGCTTGTTTTTTTCCTTCCCCAAGCTGTCTCCTGTATGTGGCTGGTGACACTTGCAGAGGATGAAGCTGCTTGCTTGGGCCTTATTCTAACGAGTTCACATCAATCAACCAATAAGTCATGACTTCTTAAGGATGCTTGGTTATCAAGAATTTGCTTAAGATACCACCCTTGCAGAAAATCTCACCTGAGTCACCATCAGCTCCCTGTAAGAAGCTGTAAACGACACCTGGCCACGTTCTATCCAGAGCCAAGGAAACCTTGACACAGGCAAAGAATAGGAAAGTGAATATTTTCCCTAGAAAAACTAAGAATAGCCCCATCTTAGATCATGTAGGCAAAGGAGGATTTTATTTGTGCCCAAATATTCCACGTGGTCTCCAGATTCTCCATTTCACTTGATAACTGCAAGGCCCGAGTGTATTTTCATCTCTCTTGTTTAAAAATCTCTCAGTCTGTTGAATCTAGTTAGTAAATTACATATCTTTTTAATCACTCAAAGATAAAGAGCACCTTTGCAAGTTGATAAATACCAGTGCTACTCTTACGTTGTTGTTGTTAGCTGCCATTGAATCGACTCTGACTCTTGGCAACCTTACGTACAGCAGAACAAAACGTTTCCTGGTTCTGCATCATCCTCACAATAGCCAGCAAGTTCGAGTCCATCGACAACAGCTATTTTGCCAATCCCTCACCCTCACTGGTCCTCTACTTCACCAAACATGGTGTTCTCTAGCAATTTTCCCTCCCAATGATGTGACTTTATGCCAAATTCTTTGCTAGCATTTTCTGGCATTGTCTCATCATCTGTATGCCAAAATCCTATGAAGAAGTCATGATTATCTTCATCTTATGGATGAGGAAACTGTGGCAGAGAGAAATTAACGAATTCTCCAAGGTCACACAGCTTGTGAGGGGAAAAAGCAGAACCGGAATCCAGGCAGCATGATTCTAGAGCTTCCTTTTTTAATCACTTCTATGTTGACTCCAAAAAAACATATACTCCATCCATTTTTGCATGTGTGATTGTGTTGTATTCTGTTGTAGATGTACCATAATTTATTTCACTAGTACCATAATTTATTTCACTAATACCATAATGTTGCACCCTTCAGTTGGTTTCAGTTTTCACTACTACAAGCAATGTTTGCAATGAACATCCTTATAGTCAAATCTTTACAGGCCATCTATATCATTTCTTTAGGATAGATTCATAAACATGGCTTTCTTCAGTTCATGTGTATATACATTTCTATGACTTTGACACATGTTACCAAACTATTCCAGAAAGGTAGTACACACTCATCTGCACTATACAAAAGTGCCCTTTGGCCCCCACCCTCAAAACTGGGTCTCATTCATTTTTAATCTGCCAACGTGATAAGAAAATATGCTGTCGCATTGCTGTGAATTGTGAGTTAGAATATTTTCATTGCATATTTGCTATATTCCTCAGGTATATTTCCTGCTAATGTCCTTTGCACGCTAAGAAGCTTGCCTTTTTCTTATAAATTTTAGAGCTCTTTACACAGTAAAACCTGTAGCAACCAGAACTCAGTGAGACTGCCTTGTTTTTCCAGGTCTCGCAAGTTTTCCGCCTTTAACAGGGTACAATCTTACCACTTTTCTATTGCTCTCTATTAGTGGACAATATTTGAGTTTTCCTTGTCTGGCGAGTTTTGCCTTACATAGGTTCTGGCTTTCACAGGTTTTACGTGTGTGTCTTATATTATGGGGCTTTGGTGGTGCAGTGGTTAAGAGCTCTGCTGCTAAATGAAAAACAGGTCGACAGTTCAAACCCACGAGCTACTCCTTGGAAACCCTATGGGACAGTTCTACTCGGTCCTATAGGGTTGCTATGAGTAGGAATCGACTCGTCATCTACGAGTTTGGGTTTTTTTTGGTCTTATGTTATGGAAATTGAACTTGACAAGTAAATCCAATAGAGAGCATAGTTGACTTATTTTGTGTTTTGCATAGCATCTTACAACCTGTTTTTCCTAATATTGATAATAAAGCATAAGAAATGATTCGTGTGTCTACAGGACGAAGGCATACCCATTTAAACAAAAAGTCACATACAAGTATCCCTCTTCTTCAAAAAGAAGCTTCCGCCTTCTCTTCCTGCTCTTCATTCTCCAAGAAAAGGGTGATGTAAGCGACCAGCAGCAAAGTGTACTCAGTCCTGGGCCGCAGGATCAGAACCCCAGCGTGAACAGCTGTGTACCATC